CTAGTAAACTGCGGTACAGACCCCTTTTTATCAAATTATTAACATACGTCTAAAACTTTGTTCAAATCATTGAAATTCTCAGAAATTGTGCATTTTTTTTAAAACTTTTTTATTGAGAAATTTTACAATCTGTTTCAGTTAAGGACACTTATGATAGAGTTCAGATATCACCGTATGTACAGAAACATAAATAAATAAAATGGGTGTTGAATATTCAGGACTCAGTCATTAGAAGATTTTTATTAGTGCCGACGTTTCAACCCAAACATGTGGGCCATCATCAGGGCGTGGTCCGAGCACTGCAGATATTCAACTACTACCCCCCTATCCACGTACACCCAGTACTTGAATACCTTCAGTGCTCGAACCACGCTCTGATAATGACCCACATGTTTGCATTGAAACGTCGGCACTAATAAAAACCTTATAATGACTGCGTCCTGAATATTTATCACCCATGATTGTTGAACATCAAGTCGACAAACTTCCTTCAATAAATAAATAAAGTAATAACAAAAGAATATATAGAAATAAGAACAAAATAAAATATTATATGGAGAAAGAGAAAAAAAAAGTATATGTATTTGAATAAATAAAAATAATAGTAAATTAAAATAAACATCTTAGGCACAATCATTTCTGTATATAAACGTTTTCTAACTCGAGAAAAAAATACTGTATTTATTGTGCCGTTTGCCCTTTATAACCTCTTTATTTTGACATTGTAGGGATGGAGGTCATGCCAAACGACCCAATATATTTGTATGCCACTTTTTTTTTTTTCAATTTTGTTATTAAATTATCTTACGATTCAAGTGAAAAGCAAATGAGTGTTCATGGATTTTTAGTACCTACTATACCTAAGTATAGTACCTAAAAATGAGCGCAAGTGGCAATAAAAAAATGACTATTGAAAAAACTAATATCAATGAAACTCTTATCAGGGTTCTATTGATAAGATTGATGTCTTATCACACTTCTAACTTATTCCTATTTAACGCTCAGGTTACATTCTTTTGCTGTCTCCATCGCTCACGGTTTACCTTGGAATGTCTCTTTCATCCTTCGATGGAAACTTTATCCAACCATCACATCTTAATCTCAGGACATGTTAGTTTTTTACCAAGTTCTTCGACCTGAAAATCGTTTTTGCAACTGAAACTGCTAACATTTGTACCTGTTGATGTGTTCAAATAATGTTATTTTCGTTGGCCTTATTATAAGATTTTAGATATTTAACTATTAGTAGTAGTCCGTGGTACTTACCACTTTTTATAAAATTATTTACATCCTCATGAAACTTCGTAAATAGCTTCATCTCAACGTGACCTGCAAATATTTTATTTACGAAAAGTTGGAATTGGGACGTTTTCGATCTGGAGATCGGCAAAATTTGTCTATTTAATTTGGTAATAAAAACTCATAAACACCCATTTACTTTCCGCTTGGATCGTAAGATAATTTTATCACAAAATCGAGAAAAAAGGTAGCCTACAAAATTATTGGGCTATTTGGCCTATATAATCTCATTATTTTGCAATATTGAGGGTAGGTCTTAGTGAAACGGTCCAATATTTTGTAGGCCACCTTTTTTTCTCGATTTTGTGATCAAATTATCTCACGGTTCAAGTTCAAAGAGTACTTACGAGTTTTTATTACCTAATTAAATAGACAAAGTTTGCCGATTTCCAGATTGAAAACGCCCCAATTCCGAGAATTTTCGTAAATAAAATATTTGTAGGTTACAATGAAATGAAGCTATTTACGAAGTTTCTGGCTGATATTAATAATTTGATAAAAAGGATTCTGTACCACGGACTAAAGAACTATGCTCTGCTATCAATGGCATAGAGATGAGATGGCTATCAGTGCATCTGTGTTATTATTTTTGTTTTTGTTTACGATTAAATTCTTACTAATCTTAAATTCATTTAAGACTAGGGGCTACCTCCTGTCCTCCCAACGGCGGACCAACCCCCATTTTACAAATTGTACATCTGCTCATTTAATTTTACTACTCTTTGCTTGAATTATATAACTTTAATTTTCATTTATTATACAGTTCAGGTTGTGTTATGTTGTCTCAACAAAATTACAATAACATAACATAATTTTTCATAAAATAAACGGAATGAAACCACTGTTCGGAAAATTTTTTAATTGTTTTCAAAATCTCTATTATACATCTTGCCTTATTGCTTATTTGTAACCATAATATATATTCAACTTGTCCAACTTCAAATAAGGCCGACATTAATTTGAGCCTTTTATTCCTGATATTTTCATTGTACGTTATATTGTGCTTTATTTTCTATTGCATAGTAATTATAATTATATCGAAATATAATATGAATAATATTATTTATTTATTTATTTGGTATTTTGTTGCCTCTACCCTGTAGGGTCATTGGCAACGCCTTTAAATTACACTCTGTTGCAGAGTTTTATCACTTTCGTTAACGATTTCGTCAGGGTCAGTTATAATGTCTTGTTCACTCTTTATACCAGGCAATTTCTTTGTTTTGGAGATCCCCTTAATGCTTTTCACTTTATTCCAGAGCTCCTTCATTGAAATGCTTTGATTTAATGAAGATACGAAGTCTTCCCATGACGATCTTTTGCTTTTCGGTATATATCGTAATCTTTGTATCTCACTGTTTGAGTTTCTTGTAAGTGTGTTTCTTGGAGACAAAATAGAATAGGGTTCTCTTCGCTTATTGTCATTTTTAGGTGCTCTAAATGTCGGAAAAATCTGTTACAATTCCATTGAATGATTGTTTTCATTTTGATTGGCAAAGTAAATAATATTATATATATAATATAATAATTAATATGTTTTATTCAAGAGAAAATGTCCAGATCGAAAAATGTCTGCTGTCACCTAGGTAAAATCAAATTATCACCTCCAGATAAATACCGTTTTCTATAGAAATTTTTAGTTAAAAATCCTTATTATGTATTAGGAGAGAAAGAGGTACCAGGAGCTCAACACATTTGTAATTAAATGAACAGCTGTGTAATTAGTTCTAATTACAGGACTAAGAGAAGAGCTCCTGTAATCTCCTACGCCCCTAATGTTATAATAAAATAAATTATGACATTTACCAAAAACTATTTTATATAATAGCTATAATTTATATAATATTTAATATAATTTAACTAAGCTTTATATATTTTTTCTCTTTTACGATACGATCATAAATATGTACATACTTAGGCATTCTTTAAATGATAGACTCGACTTTCTTTTCTTCATATACTTTTAGTGCTTATTTATAAGAAGAATTTAATTTTTATAATACTATAAAATAAGGCTGTGTTTTATTATTTCTTCACCGTATTTATTTCAGTCTACATCAGGTACGTTTCGGCCACTAAGCCATTTTCAAGCGATTTTATTTAATCATGCTTGTTAATACTTAACTTTAATCTGATTATCGACTACATGCTACAAGCATGTTTAAATAAAATGGTTTGAAAATGGCTAACTAGCCGAAACGTAGCCGATGTAGACTGAAATAAATACGGTGAAGAAATAATAAAACACAGCCTTATTTTATAGTATTATAAATATTTCACCTAAAAGAAACAAGCACATATGAATTTAATTTTTATTTTTTTCTTTCTTCTTTGAACTTAATGTTTTCTATCTATTTTCATTTTTTATTTAATTTTTATTATGTGTATTAAGCCTTTTGGCCAGAACTAATTGTTTATTTTTGATGCATTCTTAAGCGATTTCGTCCTAGAATAAATTTGTTATTTTATTTATCTATGCATAATGGGTGTTTTTGTTTCTATACATAAATAAAAACAAAAACACCAGGAGTGGCCCAGGGCTCTAGGATATCTCCTCTCCTCCTTAAATCCGCCATGCATCATCCTTATCCACCTTTAAAACCCTTTTTTTCCAATTCCTCTTCACAATTCCACAAGACGCTGGTTATATCCATACTACGTAATAAGGCTTTAATTTTCTTTAGAAATTATTTTTTTCTCTTATTTTTTATTGTTTTATTCTGTGTTGAACGTGACACATCACCATTTGATGAAGCATTGTGAGTAGATAAAATTTGTTTTTCTTAATTTCTAATTTTTCTATTAATGAGGTTGTATTTCTTTGAAATGTATTTTATTTTCTAATTATCTTCAACACATTCCTCGCTATGTGTATTTATATATATATTTATTTACACTTTATTTTATTTTTCTTCTCCTAATCTTTACGCGTAATCACTTAAATATCTTAGGGAGCATATGTATATCATTTTTTTTTTTTTTTTTTTTTTTACGATTTATGTCTATTACATATTAACAGTTATTACTATTATATATTAACAGTTATTATTATTATTTTTTTAAAATTTTTATATTCTATCACTACAATGCTTTGCCTATAAAATTGATTTTGCGTTCCTTTCTAATTTCATTTAGTGATTATTATGCTATTGTTTTAGCTCCTGTATTGTAGTACTGAACCCCTATTACCCAACTGTTAATTTATCCTAAGAGCTATTATACTTAATTTATTACTAGTATTTTGTTATTATTTATTGTAATAGGTCTTTTGGCCTAGATTTATGATTAATTTATATGAACAATACTGTTATTCTAAAGGAACCTAGTCTCAGAATAAAGATGATTTTTCTATTTATATTTCTAAATATACATTTCCGAATTACCTTGATATTTGCTTATATATATATAACTCCAAAATAGTGATTTCTCATATTTGTAAAAAAAAAAATTTGATTTTCTATAGAACTCTATCGAACCCGGGATAGTATAACGGTGTATGATTAAAAATATTTTGTCTAATAAGTTGTAAAATCTGGGTTTTGAACTAACTGAAGTAATTTTTTTAGGTTATATTAACGACACAGCTTTTTTTCTCTCGTGTTTATTTTCCGCTCTTTCTGGCTTGTAGAATATCGATGTATTCCCTTTCCGATAGCTTTGTAAACATCGATCTCTCCTTCACTCTTATCTCCTTTCCCTCTATGTCGGACTCCAAACCAACTCGGACAGGTAGACAAAGACACTATCGTCGTGTTGACATACAACAGCCAGGTTACCCCCACCACCGCTACCTCCCCGAGTGTGGTGGTGGGGGAAGGGGAGCCAGCCAGTCTCCCGGTGGCCGCCGGACGATGTTGTACGTTCTCCCGCCGCCGGTCTCCGTCTGGGCCGGCCACGCCTGGATAACCAAGGCCGAACCCCAGCTCCCTCCCTCATCGGCCACCAAAGTAAGTGTCTTTATTCTTTATCCTTTAAAGTATCCTTATTATAAAACGGGTCCTGGATCCTGTCTAAGGATCGAACGTTTATACTTCAATTCTATCCTGGGGTAGGTTATATCAGTCTGTATAACCTCATCGGTTTGTTTTCCCTTGGGGGTCGTCCCGTTATTTTTGTTCGTTACAAAACACTCGAACGTTTCCTTAGTCTTACTGTTTACACTTAATCGGATAAAAAATAACAATTGAAACTATTTATTTTTAATCCTCTTAGAATATGTGTTTGCTTAAACATATTAATAAAAAAAATTTAAAATAGGTTCACAAATAAAATAACCTAATTCTCTAAATAACATTATCTTTAAAATAAATAAATTTTTGTAAATGTTCTATTAACTTTTTTTTGTTTGGAACTATAAAAGTTTGTTGAATAATAATACATTCTGCCATATTGAAGGGCAACAAGTATTAGTGCTACAAGTGTCTACACACACATACAAAAGATAAATAAAAAGTGTTAAAAAAAAAGCATATATATATATATATTCTGTGAACTCAAGGTCACGTTTTATCGGACCCTGGCAAAAAGTATTTCAATTATTATTTTAAAATACAGTGTATTTTAATTTCAAAATATTTACTTATCTTCAATAGTATATTTTTCCAGGGCACTTAATGTAATTTAATATGGTGTGTTCAAATATTGATAAGTCCTTAAAATTTTACTTTTCGGGCTATTTAACTCGTTTTCAAATAATTTATACTAAAATTATTTGTATTTTAATTATAAAATACCTAATGGTGGGCGATCAGTCTATTACATACGGAACCTGCTCTATTGAGTGATTTAAACTGTGTATTTTAAATACTTTTTTGTATTTTACTCGTTCAAATGCAAAATATATACAAATATTTTATTTCAAACCTAGTTCTGGTTTTCCTGTTGAGTTCACTCGAGCTGCCCAATTCAGTGACCGAAAATGATTTATTTATATTGTGATATTTTTAAATATATTTTGTTGTAGTCAAATTCCAAGCTTAAAATCACTATTAACTGAAATTTTATCTGATTAGATATTATAGAACCTTTTAAATTATATAATATAGTAGGATTTATATTAATTATATTTTTATCAACACATCAAGGATTGATTGCTTTTGTTGCCATGATTATTTTATTTATTTTTTTTGTTTATGAATTTTAAATCGTTATCTAATATTACACGATTTAATATACGAAGAATTCTTGTTATAAACCATACATTATAAGAGTTTTATATTTACATATATTTAATATATTAAGGGACAAAATTCAAATTCCACGATTAAAACCACTAGGTATAAAATGAAATTTTATTTTTAATCCACTTATCAAGGAATGATTCCTTTCGTTGCCATGTTTATATTATTTTATTTTGTTTATGGATCTTATATCCTAATATAATAATAAACAAATACAAAGATATTTTAATGTACAAAAATAATTAAATCTTATTTCTTATTCTCTCGTTCTTTTACTTAATTTTTTAAAATGTTAAATATTCAAGAATTATACAGACCCATTTTTTTTTCATTTTTTTTTTTTTATCTTTCTGTTATTCCTATGTTTATTAATAACTGAATTTAATTTATATTTGGTATTTTTGTTATAAAGCTATTATCAATTTATTTTGATCATAAATAATATTGAGTAATTTTATGATGTTGCGGAAATTACTTCTAGACAGAAATTAATTCAAAATAGTCATTTTAAGGAAAAAATTCTTAGTGTTTGTCATCGATTATGTTAGATTTAGATAATGATTACTAATTATTATAATTTGTTAAAAACAGATAGTTATTTTTAAAAAAATTATTACTTTTAAAACAATCTCAGTAAAAGATTATTTTTTATGACTGTAATCCTCAATTGTTGTTGTTTTGTTTTCATCTATTACTTTTTATATAAAAACTTTTTTTATTAGTATTGTTTTGAAGTAGACATTTCATTGTTATCTGTGATATTAATATAAACATTAAGAACAGTACGACATTATTAGAGAACAAATATGATTATACCTGAATATGGGAAAAAAAAACTATAAAAAAAAAACAATGAATATATACATATATATATATATATATTTTTATTTTTTTTTATTATTATTTTTTTTTTTTAAGAACAATACAGACAACCATTTATTTAATAAATACTTTATATATTTCTCTACTTAATAGTAAAATATCACTTTCGTTTATTAAAAACTGATATAGTTATGTAATTATATATTTGAAATGGAATAAGAATAAAGAAAAAATTAATTGAATATGAAATGTGCTTAGAAATAACATGATTAACTGGTGTCAGTCGTTTTACCGTTATCTTTGCAAATGTATGTAGCAATTACATTCCGTGTTAGTCATATCCTGCTTCTAACCATTGGATACAGTTACTGAATATGTAAGCTTACATATAAATCTAATATATTTTATATAAATGTACTTAGATAATTCTAATATTATTATTACTCTTGGGATATTAATGTTTCTGTGCCAAGGCCAGTATAAATCACAATATTCTTGCCTAAAATTAAAAATTAAATGAGTTTCTAATACAACAGTGTGAATGCGAAGCCCTATTTGTTGTAAATAAACTTCTCCTTTTTCCCCTCGCAAGGCATAAGGGCGCCCCCTTGACACTCCCTTCTGATTTACGCTCCCAGCTTCCAGGCTTGTTGTATCCGAAGAAGAAAAAAGAAAAAAGACGTAGAACACATTTTAGGAGTTTGTTTACTTGTTTGAAAAACTTTTATTTAAATTCTGAGAGCAGGTACATTGGACATAAAACTACACTTTTTGCTAACGATCGATTAGTTTAGAATCAAATCCATTTATGTATTTTTTTTTTGTAATGGAGTAGCTCAGTGGTAGGGCACTGATCTTCTAATGCTCAAGGTACCGGGTTCGAATCCCGGTCAATTGTAGAAAAATTATTTATTTTGTATCATCAAACGTAGGATGACCCTGGAATTAGGAAAAAAAGAATGGTTGGGGTGATCAGTAAAAAAAAAAAAAAAAAAAAAGGTAAAAATTAATAATTATATTTATTTTTATATTTGCCTACGTTTCGGCCCAAAGTTTAGGCCTTCATCAGGGCTGTTCAAACGAAGGAGCGTCGAAAGATTTTGGACTTTCGAAAAAGATTTTGGACGATGGCCTGAACTTAAGGGTGAAACGTCGGAAAATATAAAAATAAATATAATTATTTATTTTTTAATGTTAACCCCAATTATTCTTCTGTTCAATTATTCACTTAGAAGAGATTAAAGTTAGACTGAAGGCGGGGAATGCCTGTTATTTTTCTGTGACAAAACTACTCAGTTCGCGCCTCTTGTCCCGAAACTTAAAAATTAGAATCTATAAAACAATTATTTTGCCTACAGTTCTTTATGGATGCGAAACTTGGCCGCTTACATTAAGGGATGAGCAGCGTCTTAAGGTATTTGAAAATAAAGTATTGCGTAGAATATTCGGACCGAAGAAGGATGAGTTAACCGGAGAGTTCAGACGGTTACACAACGCCGAATTGCGTGAGCTATATCAGGGTAATATAATTGAGGTAATTTCATCGCGGCGAATCAAATGGGCTTGTAAAGTTGTTGGGCTTAGTAACGAGAGAATTCCTAAAAGGTTAATATTTGCTGTGCCGAATGGTAAGCGTCCGAGGGGTAGACCGAAGCGAAGGTGGGAAGATTGCATTAAAGCTGATCTGAACGGACTGGGTTTGGACGGCGAACGGTGGAGGGAGGGGAGGTGTGTAACAAGCGATTGGCGGTGTCGGCATCGAACCTTCGGGTTCGCTAAGCCTTATTATTTACAATAATCAATTATTCACTACAGTCAACCATCAATCTACAAATAAATAATTAATTAAGGGAGAAAACCTGGAGGTTGAGCATGATCTCAGTCAAATCACCTCCATGCACAACCGTTGACTATGAAATGGTACTTTCCCTAAATAGTACTGAACCCATTAATTTTTTTTCTCGAAATTTCGCTATTTGAAAAACTACTTTTTATTGAATGTTTGATTACTGTCATCAAATATCTACTCGACGTTAATGTTGTACAGTGAGGATTAAAAAAAAAAAATTCAACAAAGGACAAAACTACACAAAGAACTTCCTTATGCAATGATTAACTCCATCAGACAGCTGTCTGTTCTTTAAGCTGTAGTTGGGATGAGTCATAAGACACGTTGCGACCCGTCTTCGTATCGTTGTTTGTCATTTATTTGTATTGGAAATAATTTTTGTATTTGAATTTTTTTTGGTGTTCAATATTTTTATCCCAGTTATCTGAATGTCAACTTTCTCTGAGTGTGGTTTCTTTGTGTTTTTATTTATACGGCATTAGTTTCTTCAGGTATTATAAAGGAATGTATGTATCATTTTAGGAAATTTTATACTGAATTATGAATTTTCTAGGAAAGGTCGCAAATAAGCCTATTGAAAATATTATGTTGTTAAAATTTCTTACGATTTATTATAATTATTAAAAATAAATATTCACCTTTATCCAAACACTCGCAGTGAAATCGAAAATCTCGCTTGTTCTAGTAAGCTTTATACATTATTTCTCAAAGGTGTTTTTTATTTATCTATTTTTTTGTCCATCCGCCATAAATTCGTTAATTTTCCCTCAAACTTAATGATTGATTTTAAAGATATTATTCTCCCTCATATGTAGAAAATAATCATATCCACTCGAAATTTCAGGGAAAAAATATGCAGGAAAAGAAACTTTATTTGTTATTAGCTCAAACAGTATACTTTTTGTAAATTATACCCATGATTATTTGATATATTACTAAATTACCTACAAAACAAACAAAAAAAACAATCGAATTCAGTTCATTATTAGCAAAAATGCAGCTTATTGTTTTCTTTGGTTTAAAATATGAATGAAGTTTTAAAATAATTTTATCTTATGATACATTGCATTATTTCATTATCTTATTTTAAGTTCACCAATAAATATATGCGAATGATTAGCACAGGTCAGCTATTTTTATTGTAAATCAGAAGGGAGTGTCAAGGGGGCGCCCTTATGCCTTGCGAGGGGAAAAAGGAGAA